ATATAATGTTATTTGTATGAAGAAGGTTGTTAATCAAGAGCCTTTTGTGGTTCCTATTGTGTGGAAGAGGGCATGCTTTACTGTCAGGCTGTGAAGGGCTGGATCATGGTCATGTATGCTATACTTTGTAGCCACATGAGTGGACACTTTTTCCTCACTGGGTATGAAGTGCATGGTGAGCTCTACCTGCCCAAATAGAAATCATAACTCACTTTCCCAGCCTGCCTTGCAGCTACTGTATAAACATGTAATTGGCATCTGCCAATTAGAGACTAATTCTGATGAAGGGAAAGCAACTAAGCGGGTGCCATGCAGGCTCCAGTGTTCCCTGGGGGTGCCTGGCTGATTCATTTGGGGGAAGCAGCAGAAACAGAGTTTCTTATGTGTAGCCCTCAGTGTCATTAGTTTCCAGGTGGGGTGGCAGTCACACCTCCCCGGGGAGCAATGGTGCATGGTGGTTTGGGTTTGTTCCCAGCTGTGTCACTTCAGAGCTTGAGTCTCTGGTTCTCTTGGAGATTAATTAACACCTTTTCATTACATTGCTTCTGCTTAAATTAGCTAGAGGGTTCTCTCATTTGTAGCGTATTGCCCTGGCTCACCACCTACTACCACGCTCTCCTTAATGCCACTGTATGCCCAGCTCTGTGCTGAGCAGAAGGGAAGTGGTCTTGTTTAGTGCTTAGAGAATATGGCTTTGGGACAGATAGACTTGGGTTTGAATCCTGACTCCACCACTCTCTGGCTGCAAGCATCTGCCTTTGTCTTACTGGGCCTTGTTGCCTCGGGCTCTCAGCCACCTCAGAAGGTTGTGGGTTAAGGGGTAACTGTAAAGTGTTCACAGCACACTGGGAGCTGTGGTCTTAGGCCAAGCCTCCCAGGGGCCCATGGGGACAGGTTTGGCCACAGCGTTTTCCAGTGACCCTCTCTCCAGTGTGAGTGAGGCAGGGGTGAGAAGAAAAGAAGTTCCAGGTGGAGGAGGGGAGCTGCTGAGCTGCTTTTCCTTCACTGGAGGTGTGGCAGGAGGATGCAGCTGTCCTCTTCCGCACTTTTCACAGGACCCAGTGCTGTCATCTGTAGAAATGGAGGAGGTTCATGCCACCCCCAGCCCGGCAGAACCTTGGGAGATGCTGCTCTTATTTTGATCACTGACCCTCCAGAGACTTTAGGGACCAGCTCCACAGGCTGAACATCTTGCAGCCTGGTCCACCAAGACTCAGAGCCCAAGTGTAGGAAAGGAGATTGCTGCTCGCCAATCTTTCCAGACACAAGCTAGGGCCGCATTTCTATACTCCCTTGAAGCAAGGCAAGGACGTAAAACTTGCTTTGGATGATGACATGTAAATAGCAGTGATATGTCACTTCTGGATGGCAACACCAAAGAGCCAAGGTGTCATTCTCCACTCCGTCTCTTCCCAGCTCTGGTAACTTTAGAGGTCCATATTGACATGGAAGTGCCACAGAATCAAAGCAGCCTGGAATTCTGAGCCACCACAAGGAGAATGACTGTCCTGAAGCTTTACCCAGAGCCACAGATATTGAGCCATAGAGGCTGGGAGGTGGTTTGTTACTGCAACAGAACCCAGCTTAACCTGACGTATTCACTAGCCCTGGCTTTACAAAGCCACATAACTGGTAGGTTAGACCCAAGGACACCACTAAGCCCGAAGGGCTTCCCTTCCTCATCTCCTCCATGCTTTCGAGGGTAAGAAAGCACAGCTTTCTCCGCTAGGGTGGTGCTGCTCTGAGCCATGCTTCAGGGTGTGAGGTATTAGTGAGCATCTTGGTCCCAAAGGACAAAACTTGGAGAAAAGTGCATGCTCCTGAGATACCAACGATGGTGCCTGATATCCACAGCATAAGAGTAATGCCCAAGACTCTAGAGTGGGAAAACAGAAATACAGTGAGAACCAAGGGTGCGGGGAATGTGGGGTTAAAGGATGAAGAGGCATCTTAAAACCTGATGGGGAGCAGGAAAGGAAGGCTGCAGAAACAGAGAAGTCAGCGGAGCAGCCAGGCCCCCAGGGCTGCCAGTGAGGCTTATTTGTAGGGTGTCTTGAGCAAGTCCCTGTCTCCTTCAGTCAAAATGGGACTACACAGAAAGGCAATGCCAAAATCCTAAGAACCTGCACCTCCTCTCTGGTTGGTCAACAAGCCCTCCCAGCCCCTCCTTCAGTCCTGGGAGGTCTTGTCTGACCTTGTGTATTCAGAGGTAGGTGCCACAAGAGTAGGAGCCTTAATCACCACGTCCCCACGGCCTAGGATTCCATTCAGTACAAAGCAAGTGCACTGTGTACTACCTGTGCAATGAAATAATTCCCAGAGGGCTCCAGGAGAGCCACCTGCTCCCTCCTTGGAGGCTACCACCTATCTTCCATCTGAGATTTTGTCTTCCTTGTGTTAGCATCTCTGGTGTCTGGCCCCTTTGGACCCCCATGCTTGCCAGGGGAGGGATGAGACCATATTTCTTTTCACAGCATCCCCAGTGCTTAGCACATAGATGGGAGTCTGTGGCTACACACTGGTGCTCATGGGAAACCACCCCTGCACAGGCCCTGGCCTCTTGTGAGCACTGTCATCTGGGCCTGACCTGCAATAGCCCCAGGACCCCTATCTTTTTAGGTTCCTCTGTGTCTAACCCAAGACCTAGCTCCAGTTGGGAACCCTTTGCTGCCTTTGCCCCAGCTCCTGACTCCAGGTGTTCCCCAAAACCCAGCCTGCCTCTAAGGGAGGGAGATGGGTATTCCAGGGCACAGATGTCCATGGGGTCTGCATGCTGAGCCATCACATTACACACCAGCTTTGTTCTGGTCCATGTCTGGTCTTCGCAGCTAATAGTCAGGGCAGGCCAAGTGCAAAGAAGAGGCTGGGCCAAGGGACAGGAGTTGTACTGACTTTATTCCCCTTCACTCTCCTCATCCATACGCCTGCTGACCCCCCTTCCCCCACATTCATGTAGGTTGCCCATACATGACTAGACATTGAAGTTTGGGCAAGACCATTCTGCCACCACCGAGTCCCCTGTGAGGGGTACCACAGAGGCCATGGCAGCATGAACCAGGTCTGGAGGTGCCCAAAACCATGTTCATGGGGCCTGAGGCCCACCTTGTCACTCTGGCCACTCACCCTGAGACCAGCCAGCCAGGGGAGCTAGGGAGTGGGCAGGCCCAGACTCCAGGCCTGAATTATGGACAAACAGGCTGAGGCAGCTCAGCTGGACAGAAGGACCCCAACAGATCTCCCTGGAAGTGATGGTCCTGAGCCTGGGCATCCCAGCCCAGGGAAGTGGGTTAGATGCCTCAGTCCTCTCACTCCAACATCTGGGTGTGCATTAATCTTTGTTTTTCAATTAAAAAGATGTAAAAGCTGGTAAAATAAGAACCCCTATCTCTACTGGCACTGTTAAAGTGCCATTATTGCTTCTGTCCTTATGGGCTGGTCAGAAAGGTGCTCCCAACACTGGTTCAAGGGGAAGAGAGCATTTAGCACCAGGGACACAGGCTTCTGGGGAGAGGGACTCCTAGGAGAGAGGTTGGCTGAGCCCACAAGTACCCAGCCAGCTGTCTGGACCCTTTGCCTATCCTGAGGGGAAGTATATGAGAACAGGAAACCCAAGTTCTGGGTCAGGGTTTCATAGAAGCTCCCTACATCCATCTTTGACTTTTGTCAAACTATGGACTGGAAGACAAGGGACCCCAGACCCACTCAGGCTGCAGTGGAGCCAACAGGAAGGCCACCAGCTGTTATGGGAGACCCTGGTGCTAGTGACAATGGCTGGAGAACCCACAGAGGTCCCTGCGTACAGCCCACTGGGCAAGATCTTTTTGGAAAACATGAGCCAGCTCTAATGAGCTGCCAGGCACTGGGACCAGAGGTTAGAAATAGCAAGGGGGAAAGAGGAGAGACCCTGAGGACATCATGGAAGCCCAGAGATCAGGAGTACAGGGGAAGAAAAGAGCTACAGAAAAGCAGGAGCCTGGAGCCAGACAGGAAGCCTTCCTCCTGCCTTCTCTGACTTGGAAAAGCAGGGGCACCTCAGGGTATGTCTATAGGCTCTAGCTTGTACTACTCCAGCTGCAGTCCCAGACCTGACCGGGCCAGGGAAGCTGGCATTGCCCCCTCCAAGCCCAGAGAACAAACAGTGGTGCAGCCTGGATTATAAAACCTCAAATCACTCGGGCACCTTGGACCTGCCCATATCTGTATAGAATAAAGTGCTTCATTTATTGATGATTAAAATGTCCCCAGCCCCCTGCCCCAGTGCCACGGGCCTCACAGGGAAGTTAGAGGGTTTCAGTGCCCCCAACCATGCCCCTTGGGCCCAGGCCTCTTCCCACCCCGGCCATGCTGGGAAGGTGGTAGTGTGGGGGAGTAGTGGGGGTTTAAGGTGCAAAGAGTATAACAAACAAAACTGTATAAACACAAGAGGAAAGAGCTTAACTAGGAAACATGTAGCTTATGGAACCTTCTGCCCCAGATTAAAGGCAGAAATAAAGACATTAAATGACAACAAAAAAAGTTTCCTATTTAGTGCTGGCCTCATGAGGGCAA